TAAGACCTGACTCTTACTCAGAAGAGCAGAACGTAAATGAAGAAAACATTTGCTGTAAAACAGGAGTCTTCAAAAAACTTTTAAGGATGGAAGCTTTTCTTTAAATATTTTATTCTAAATTTAGAAAGCTCAAAAAGAAGTCTTCAGCAATGTTATAATTTGGACCCAGGAAAATACACAGATGATGTATTCCTTCACCTTTCTGAGAAGTTTTATACACTCTAAGAAACATAGTGACTTACATGCTGCTGTAAGAGCTTCAAATACCAAACAATCTTTAAAGCAGGTAAACACAATGAATGACAAAATAGAATCAAACAAAGAGAAAACAATTTTTCCATTGGAAAAAATAGCCTGCACAATTACAGAAGCACTGTAATGGTTTCTGAGAAGAATGATAATCTCGTGGTAGAAAGTGGTAGAAGGAGTTAGGGGAGTGTAAAAAAAAAAAAAAAAAAAAAAGTCATTGTTACAGAGTTGGAGTTGACTGAATGTGACAGTGCTGAGAAAAGCATGTGCATAAGCAGATACTTCTGTACTGCCAGTAGTCAGACATCTGCGGTTCTGTTCTCCACAAAGGTGCAGCGCAGGGATTTTAAGATTTTCTTTGCATTGGTAGAGTCATGGAGAAATTAAAAAGTAAGTTAAATACATCAGTCATGCACATACTGTGGGTCTAAGCTGGAAATTGGAGTAAGAATCAATTCAACCTCAAGATGCAACTCAGTCTTAGACACAATTTCTAAATGTCTAGAAGAAGGATGCCTTGCAACTTGCACTTTCTTTATACAAGGACCTATTTCCATTTAGGTTCATGCACAGAGAGGGTAGCAGTTGCTCCTTGACTGCTACTTCTCCTCCTGTACGCTTTCCTTCACTGCTGTGGAACTGCTGTCTCTGAGACACATTCTAGGAAATGGGGATGGGCAAGGGAAGGGATAAGAAAGGAAAGAACACGTTATGGCACTGTCATAACTGAGTTCCAATTTGCCCAGTTCTTTGATACTCCAAATCCCATAAATTTTTACAACTTTTAGTTAGTGGGGTGTTCAAATGCTGTAATCTGCATGCTTGGGGAGGGGGCTTACAATGCAGATTTCTCTTTTTTAGAGTTCAGTGGACTCATATTAAGATCTGCTTCCCAACACCAGATGACCTTCCCAAATGTATGAGGCTTCTCCAGGCTGAGAAAATCAATCTCACTGTGGTTGGAGTAAATGGAGACATGCTGGGCTCATTGGTCTTCCAGACTTGTTTCCAAACATTTTGAAGGAAAAGAGAGAAACTGTTTGCTTATTAGAGAATAGAAGACCAAACAGTATCATGAGCCCCGAACACCTCTGGCAAGGGATTAGCTCTGCTACATGACAGAGAAATGATAAGTGAAAATGTTTTGACGTATTCTTCATTCTTAGCTGAAAAGATGCTTCAGTGTGGTCTGAGGTAGTGACAATGTGTGAGACGACAGAAATTCCTGAGACAAGAATTGCTAGTGAAAATGTTTCTAAAACTCCCCGTATTCTAATGCTATTTCTCAGCTCTGGACAAGGCCAGGTCCACTGAAACATAGACTGTGCACACAATTTAAAGAAATTTTTCCTGTAACTTTTGGAATCAGTTATGCCTCAGTACTGAAAATAAATTCAAACAAAAATTTTAATGTTTCATTTGCATTATTAGTATATTCAGGCTTTAATTTCTCACTAATATTACATACTGTTTAGGCAAGCTGTCTCCTATATGAGAAGACAATAATCCCTGTGATAAAATAGGTATTGCAACCATCTTTTTGACACGTATCAGATCATAATGAGAAAACTACTATCACTCCAAAATATAGTGTTTTACAGATTTTTCAGTATGTTTTGATACAAAAGTAGGCAACATAAATCACAAACGGTAACAAAAAAAAACCCCAAAACAAACCACAAAACAGACCAAATCAAAAGGCAACTTTGTAAGTCCAAGTAGCCATGATGGACAAGGTTATCAGATTTCTTGCATCATATGCAAAGTCCAAAAATGTTACATCCAAACCTGTTTCTCCTTCAATTCTTTAAACTACAAACCTCTTCACCTCAGTCTTTCACTGCAACGGAATCCCTGTTAGAAAAATAATTCTTGCAGTTATTTGATGAGCCTCACTGACTGACAAAGTTTTTTTTCTGAGGATGAGAGTTATGCTTTCTGGAGTGAACTAATCTCAAGAATTGTGATGAAATTCTTTGTGGGGTTGAAACCTTGGTAAGTTCATGAATAGACTGAAATGAATTGTTGGAATATACCTATGCAACACCATTTATTGTATTATTTACTGAGCAACGTTATCATGACCTTAGAGGGATGAACTCAGTCCGTGAAATTCTAGAATGCAACTTGTAGGTGTTTTCCAAAGGGGGAAATGACAAGACATGTATTCTGACCTCTTTGTGTTACCTTGGCCGTGGCATTAGCAATGTATATGGAGGCCCTCTTCAACCATGTTCTGCAAAACTAAGAGAACTGGAATTTCAGCTGTTGGGGTTTTTTGTTTGGTTTTGTTTTTTCTTTTGTACGCTTACAAAATTAGCTGTAATCTGGCTTTACAGTGATTAAGGTATGGTAATATATGGTTTAACATTCCAAAGTCAAAGCATTTCAGGTTTTTTAAAAATTAATCAGTTAAATCTCCTATCAGTTTTCACTGTAAAGCCTTGAAATCTAAATGACAGCTGGATTAAATCCACATTATGAAAATTCACAGCAATTTCATTAGAAATAAGTTCAAGTCAGTGAAAAAAATGAGGAGGGATTTTGAAAGACAGTCAAGTTATGTTGGTAGACTTAGTCTGCAACTTTGGAAACTGGATGGAAATTGCACAAAAGAGGGAGGGACTCTTCTTCAGGCTTGTTTGTACACACAAATCTGACACACTCAAAATCTTATTTATAAACCCTCCATCTGAACTAAGGACTTGAATATAGCAGCACAGCAGCCACTTTTACTGGTCTTTCTTTGCCAATAAGTTTGATACAAATATGCTTGCACAGAAGGTAAACCCCTCTCCTTCCAAGCTTTACAGAGAATAGTAACATCTTCAGACTAATTCCACACTCTGAAATGATACAATCTAAGAATGAAAAATGACGTTATGAGCAACGTTACGTACATTGTTCATGGTAAGGCTGAAGCTGTACCTGAAGTTTCACTTACATACAATTTCCTATTTCAGTTCATCTTTGAAAGTACCTAACATCAACAGGCCCTATGAATTTATAAAGCCCTGAACAACCTGGTCTCATAGATGAGTTTACTGTGAGACAGAAGTTGGTCTAGAAAATTCCAGAGAAGCCTTCCAATATGAATTATTGTATGATTCTGTAACACAAAAGTGTGGAAATTATGTGAAGATTGCGTGAATATAGTGTGAAGATTAAAAAATATGATCAAATAAGAACATATCCATGGCCCCAAATAAAATTGTTCTCTCAAAAATATGTCTCAGTACAATTCTAAAGGAAAATCTGCTATCATAAACCCATCCTCATGAAGTACATTTAGAGTTAATAACATTCCCCTTAAAAGCTAATCTAAGCTAGATTTCTCCTGCAAGAAACCAATATCACTGGAACAGACATCATAGTTTGTTACCAGAGAGAGTTCAAATTACTTTAGTGAGAAAAGTCACCTAGTTTGAACTTCAGCAGTAAAGGCAGCTGCTGTGGCAAACATCACCATTATCCCCACCAGCCTCTTACTCTAATACAGAGAAATTTATCTGGAGACACACAGAATTCCTTGTCTACCTGTGTAATACAGGCAAGGACAACTTCCACATACCGTATCAAGAAGTACATAACTAGAGTGAATAGATAGGATACAGCCTTCTTAGACTAGCACACCGCTTACAGGGATCTAGTTACACTTGTAAGACTGATAGAACGAAAAGCAGGAATGAATGAATACCCGTGCTCAACTGTCACCAAAAGAGTACATGGTAAACTAGCTTTTTAAAAGAAGGAACTATTATGGTAACCATGCAGCATCTCCAAGTACTTGAGGTGACCAAGCCTATCTGTATTACGTTGTCATAACCTTTGACAATTTATAGAAGAAAAAATTTCAGAAAATCTAGGTGTACCCCTGCATAGGCAATACAAAGAAGATCATTAGGAGAGGCTGCTTGTTTACTAAATGGTTCTAGAGAGGTAGCTTCTTGCACAGCAAGGTTGATGAATTTCATTTTACTACCAGAGGTTACATATATTCCTCAATACATGAAGGACATGTCTCGGAAACTGCGTGGAATACTATGAGTTTGCCTGCAACAGTTCCTCTTGCTGGAACGTCACAGAGGAAACAGCAGAGAAAAAAAAATTCGCATTTCTGTTGAGGCTTTTACTTTCAGGAAGCATAGATTTATCCTGGTCAGGTTTTCGTATGTCTCACTCCATTTCATACCCATGACACAGGCACCTGTGCTAGCCTGTCAGAGAACTGCTATTTAACAGACACTTACTACCTTTCCTATCACTTCATCAGGCACTGATGAGTCTGATTTAACTTTGAAATCAGCCCGGTGTTGAGTAGCAGGCTTGGTCTAGAGACCTCCCGTCTCTTCTCATCTAAATGATTCTATAGTTCAATGAAGAGAAGTTCTACATAGAGTCTTAGGGCAAATACACCCTATTATTCTCGTCATTGAATGTTTGGAGGGGATGGTGATCAAGCTACCCTCATAAAAATAGCAAAATCTTAATTTGCAAGATTAATTATTATCTTTATTTCATGGAACTTCACAGTTAAACAGACTGCCAAACAACTTTTTCTGTTATATAAAATACAGTTACATGGTCTCTATCATAAATCCGAATTCCTAATGTCCTGTGAAAAACAATACCACAAATGCATTCATTAAGATAAAAGGTTTTCAAAATATTTGTAAAAACAAATGACTCTTAAAAATTAAGACAGCTATGAAAATGACTACAGACACAAATGCAAAAAATTCTACACTTACAGTTCTATTGCCTTGTTCCACATGATAACATATCCAGAAAGAATGAAGGACTCAATATTTACAATGTGTGTATTTCCCCTCTCTGTTCCAACATAAAGCCATTTACTCTGGAAAGGTAGATGGCAGTAAGTAATCCTGGAAAGGAATAACAAAAGAAGTGACTGAATACCATATCAATAATTTTTAACACTTTTTGTAGCTGAAATAATTGTTCTTTCCATTTTAGAACTTGAGAAAGGCCTGCCCAGCAGGCACAGCGTTCTGAAGAATGTCAAGGTTTGGGGAATCATTTCCACAAAAATCATAAAACAGAACATGAAACAAAACAGGGTCATCTTGCCTGCTTATATTAAGGTCAGGAAAAAAGAGCTGCAGCACTTGAGCACTGAACTAAGTCATGTTATCTCCATGAGTATGGAAATTGCACTGTGACAGTATCCAAGACTCCCAAGTTAGGTTTTCTTACTTCCTTTCTTAGAATAAGCAATTTTTCCAGTTCGAGAAACAAAAGTTAATGGACATCAACAGGATTAGTGTTTTGTACAACAGAAATGTATAATAACACGAGAAAACATTCAGTTTTTTGCTATCTGGGAGAGTAGGAGACTAGAAAACTGCACTTGGCAATGCTCTTAAGTATTGTATCACAGACACACTGAATCCTACACTAATATTATTCTTACAATGTGATGAACCAGTGCTATATTAGCTTTGAAAGAAGTCATGAGAGTTTGTTGTGATAATACCCAAAGGTTTTCACAGATGATGAACGAGCAAGTTCAGGTTTCTTCAATATTATAGTTATTATATATCACATACATTAAAGCAAAACTAAACCTATATGAGATAAAAACACATTTGTCACTAAAATCGACTCAAATGCATGCTACTTACAAAGACTGAAACTTAATCTGATTTTTATGGTATAGATGAACTTTGACAAAAAGCAGGTACTTTGCTTGGTATGCCATACATTATTCTATCTATCATTCAGTTCCACAAGCAGGCTATTTCTAGCTTTTATATTCAAACTTGATTTAACAGCTATGCAATGATTTTTATCCTTAACATGTTCCTCCCCCGCAAATGTATAAACAGTATTTAAGAACATAGATATTTCAAATTTTTATTGTTACAGTACAGCAATCTTTCTGAATTAATTATAAAGGAGTGAGAGGGGTGTTGGTTATCTTCCATTAGTTCAGTCCTCTCAGTCATCTAAAGTCCTCTGAGCAGAACACTTGTCACTTGCAATTAAAGGAATTGTTCAATATTTATACAAATTTCACATACTTTCTGTAATTTTTCCCTGTAAGGTAATCTCAACAAACAGATTCCACACAGTATTTGGAGAGTTCTGCAGTTTTCTAAGTATCTAATCGTGTGTCAGAACATGTAATATTTAATTCATTCAAGTGAGCAGATTTTTTTTTTTTTTTGGCCTTACATGTCATATCACACTGGATTGAACACAGGTGAAATATCCATTCTTCACATCCTAATTTATGGGGAAAATTATTATTGAATCATGAATCCAGAATAAGGCTTACCCTTTGCAGAAATCTTGTTTTGCTGATTCAAGTAAGACTTAAGTACGATATAGGCTAAGTATGATGTAGGCTACATCCATCTGTACAGGGATAAATTTTACCTTTGTCTGATTTTGACAACAATTCCAGTGCTTTAGTGGAAAGAGGGAACCAAGTTTTTCAAAAGAATTGCTTTGAGAAAGGGAATTACAGTTAGTATGCATAAATGAAAATGCCTTCAAGCAGCAACTTATCAACAAATATCTGACAGAAAAAACTGCAGAAATTGTATGCCACCTACATATTCCTTGTTGGAGTTAAAGCTGTTAGCTTTATTGTCTTGTTCATAACAGATGCAAAGAACAATTTGCCCTTTTCACTTTGTAGTTTTACAAACGTGAAGCCAGTTTTTACATCTTTCCTGATCCTTCTCCTTAAACCTAACAACTCCATTTCTTTTGCTTTTTCTTCAGATGCATCATTTGCTTAGATTAATTTATTTTTTTTTTAATTTCTTGCATTTCTGCACTAGCTCTACTTTACCTTCTTGCATTCCAAAGCATATTCATGCTTTGTTAGGTTCCAGCCCGTGCAAAAACCTCCCTGGCCCCTGGTTGATAAATCTGCTTAACAACTTTCACCCTGATGTTCACTTCGCACTTGTTTTCAGTAAACTGTTAATTTACAGGAAAAGAAAATATTTGTGACTTTGAAAGTGTTGAAAATGTATCTGTCTAGTGACTGACAAATAGCTCATGAGTTACAAAGCAAACACTAGTTGACTTGAATGCTGCTACTCCAAATTCTTGCAGTTGTGTCATCAGATGAAGCAGGCTCAAGTCCACCTGTGACCATATTAATATTTAGTCCTCTGATAAATCCATTCACAAGCGAGTACCGTGTACTGCAGAAAAATTGGTTTCCAAAGAGCAAGGCTGAATCCAATACCCTGATTATGAATAAAGTCTCCAAATCACCTGAGACTCCATACGAGACTGCTTTGGTCTACTTTTTTCCCTTTTTGAAATTTGCTTCTAGGTTATGATCTCTAGCACTACTGCCACAACCATCATCACACTAAATGAGCGTGTAATTTCCCAGCTACTGCATGTTCTCCATTTGCCTGTCTTAGGTTTAAAACAAGGTTTAAAACAACGCTTATTTCAAGAACACAATTTTTAAGAGCAAGGTCCTACGGTAAGAGAAAAATCAGACTAAAGTACTAACTACTGGCCATCAGCCATTATTTTCCTGCTGACCTATCTGAAATCCCAGGCACTAAGTCTGGATATATAGTATGAAGGACCAGAAGAGAATTAGGTGTTGCTAAAGAATGAAGAAAATGACCAAAAATTGTGTTGTTATCTTAAACTCAGCTATGTCCTCTTAAATAATTTCATTTTGTTCTGATAGATTTATGGGACAGCCAGATAAGAAAGATTCTGCATGTTCTTTCTTCCACAATGAAAGCTACCTATGGGTTTTCATTGTTTACCCAAACTGTTATTACACATTATCAAATACTACCTTTTACAATATGTGAGCTTATAAGAAAATGTTATTCCCTTAAAGACAATCCAGATATGTAATGAACCTATCAAAGAACAGTGATTACTAGACATTTGTATACATTGTTAGGCTTCAAAAAAAAAAAAAAAAGCCATATGATATTCATATTCTTAGAAAACTATTCACTGCTCTGAAGTAGGTTTTATTTTTACATTATGTAAATTAAATACAAACTGCTTTATATATTATTGACTTTTCACTTTTACAGAATATATTGACTTCGAGACTTGCAAGCTTTGAGGTAAGACTCGGATTTTTAATGAACATCTTCCATTTCAGTAAGTACGGAAATTACATAACAATTTCTTCAAGATAAAACAATGACATCTCATACTGTAGTGGATGAAAGGTATCCCTCTCTTAGTCATATATCCCCCACACAAATTAAGATGTCCTTTGACGCCTTCACAAAAAACAGTCAATTAGCCAGAAAGAAAGAAAGACTATTTTTCTTCTTGAGAAGGTAGGGCTTGTAATGATTTATGCCAGTATGGAGCGCTTCTGCCAAAATCTAATCAGATTGTCAATTTGATTGAGATACGTGGAACCCAGTTAAACAGAGACCTGAGAATTTGTTCAGTGTTGATCACTTAACAGCAAGTCAGCCAGAAATGTGGATATTATACATTCTTAGCAGCACACGACAATACGAATCCCATTGATTGCTATAAGGAATAGCAAAAACCATGGACTGATACCAAAAAGGTGTTCCTGTGTTGCCAAAATGGGTCCAATGTATTCAAAGCACAAAACAGGACATAAAATGTAATTGAAAAAAAAAAAAAAATCCACAGGTGCTAACTAGAAGACCTAAATCAGAATTTATTAAGCAAAAACTCTTTTGCAAAAGTCCTGTGAGCATTTATAGAATTATGTAAGCAATATAAGAGAGATAATGGAATAATTTAAAGAGGCATTGTCAAAAAATTGAACCTCATTTTAGAAAAGAATATATTCTGACTAGCAAATCTTGAAAAGGTATATTTTTTCAGAAAATCACAGCACTCTACACGCTAACAACTCTGACCAAAATACCTCATTGAGTATTAGTAGTATACTACAATCTTAAAATAAATTTAGACTGCTACATTCTATGAAATACTAGTAAAAACTCTCAGATGGCTTAAAATCATCTTTATTACACTAATCATATTGCTCTAAGAAAAAGAAAAGATAAGTTTGAGAACACGTCCTTCTGCTTCTACTTTGTTATTTTTGTTTTTCTATTTTTAGTATGAAAAATTTTCCCAGAACACTATTCCTGGTGGAGAGTGGGGAGAGATGCAGAAGGGGAGAGAATAAATTGCATTTTTGTCAAAGCAATGAACAGTTTTTCTAATTTAATTATTTAATTGCTCATTCCTTGACATCAAAACTGCATCTAAATTTATACTATGCCTTTTTCTTTTATACAGATAATCTTAAATACGGACAAGCATAGAACAGCACTGTGCACAGCACTGAGTGGCAGTAGGGTTCAGTTTCTGTAAGTTCTGACAAAAAACAAACATCAGCTTGAACTCCCTCTCATAATCCAAAGTAAACTATACTGTCCTGGCTCTCAGAAACTATGGAAATCGAACAAATTCACGGAAGAAGAGGAAGATGTAACATAAGGACCATTAACTTGAGAACATGAGTAGCTGATGAGAAGCAGGCCCAGTAGCTTCAAGGCACGCCAGCCGTGGTCCTGGCCCAGACTTTTGCTCTCAGCTCTTAGGAACTACTAAGTTACAGCTACTTTCTTACACCCAATTTACAGTGCGTTGTCCCAGCATGGATGAGCTCAGCTGCTGAGAAAGCTGATTACCTTCTTAAGGCTATGCATATCAGAAGTCTACCTTTTCATTAGAGTGATTACAGCTCACCTCCTGATGCAAGGAATCTTCTCCAGCATCCTCTGGTGCTTTCGGTACTCCCTGCTAATTTATGTTGCTTACCTCAGCTGGCCATCATGGCAAGCTGTCCTCTTGGCACCGCCACCTGATAGACTGGCCACCCTCCCTGGTACTAGCCAATGACTGGCTGATGTTCTGT